CTGTGAGTCACCCTGTGGGTGCTGGAAACTGAGCACAGAATCTCTAGAGGAGCAGTCAGTGCTCTTAAACACTGAGCTCCTCTCCAGCCTGCTACTTATTCTTCTGCTTTGGTTTCCTATAGAGTAATAAACTGTCACTCAAAATTGAAAATACAGCTATCAGAGATCATTCTCTGGACTTTATGGCGCAACAGCATATCAAAATGTTATTTTATGGGCTTGGCATGATGCCACATGCCTTTAGTCCCAGCACTCAGGCAGGCAGATCTCTGTGAGTCTGAGGTCAGTCTGGTCTACATAGCGAGTTTCAGAGCAGGTAGGACTACATAGAGAGTCCCTGTCTCTAAAAAACTAAAATAAGAAAGCTATGGATTATGCTTTTGATGTTATATCTAGAACATCTTTGTTGCCTAACAACAGGCTACAGCAATTTTCCCTAGATTTGTAACTTTAAGTTTTACATTTTGGGTTTTGAGCTGTATTTACATGGTATGAATTGCAAACTGAAATGCATTTTCCTCCGGTGACTATGCAGTGATTTCTTCACTTTCTAAGTCTATCCTCTACTAACTCGCCTTTAAAGTTTTTATTTTATCCTTTGTGTGTAGGGGTGTTTTGCCTGCATGGATGTCTTATTTGCACTTGAGTGCCTGGTGCTCACAGAGGCTAGAAGGAATTCCTGGAACTGGAGCTACAGATGGTAGTGGGCCACCCTGTGGGTGCTGGGAACTGAGCCAGATGCTCTAGAAGAGCAGCCAGTGCGTTTAACCTCTGGAACAGACAGTTGTGAGCTGCCATGTGAGTGCTGGGAATTGAACCTGAGTCCTCTGGAAGAGCAACCATTGCTCTTAACTGCTGAGCCATCTCTCTAGCCCTCTAGACCACAGATCTGTGCCTGTCTCTACCCTCTGAATGTAGTTTTGTTAACTAGCTATTCTAGATCCTTTGCTTCATATCAAACTTTAGAATTACTTTGTTAACGTTTGCAAAATTGTTTGTAGCTTGGCTATGATTCTATTGAATATCTAGACCAATTTGAAAAAATTATTTTTTAAAAGGTGATGGGTTTTGTTGTCTTTGTTTCATTTTGGTTTTGCCTTTTTGGTTTTTCGGACACCTCTAGCTGTCCTGGAACTTGTATGTCTGGCCTCATAGTCAGAGATCCATCTGCCTTCGTCTCCCGCGTGCTGGGATTAAAGGCGTACACCACCACTTCCCGTTCAAAAAAATTAACATTTAGTGTGTGTGTCCATAGATGTGGAGGCCAGAGTACAACTTGAGGAAATCTGTTCTTTCCTTTCACCATTGTTAGGTCTCAGGCTGTCCAAATATCCAGAAATGAGCTCAGCATGGACTATAGGAGGATTTCTGGCAGAGTAAAACTAACATTCCTCAGGAATTCATGAAGCTGGTTCCTGTCTACCAGGAGTCATTTCCCTTACCTCTGGCAGAAGGGGCACATGGTTCCATTGACATGCACCTACGACTGCATATCAAAGCCCATGCTGGCCTCCAGACTCCCACAGTCCCTAGTTACAAGCACTTGCTATGTATTTCAGACCTCCCAACACTAGCCTCCTGGCCCTTTCCTCCCCCAGCCACTCACCCCTTATAAGGGTCATTCTCCGCTGTTCCTGCACTCACTGTCTGGCTCTTCTCGCCATACTCATCTGCTTGCTCTCCCTATGCTCTAGTTTCTATGTCTGCTTAGCTCGACTACTCCCTCCCACTCTCCTGCTTCCCTAGTCCTGGCCATGTCCAGTCTGCAGGCCACCTTTAGTCTGCTTCCTCTCGTCTTCCAGATGCCTCCGGCTGTTTCCTCATATCTATAATAAGAACCGTAACCATGTCGTGGAGTGGTCGTGCCAGCAGTAACTAACTTGCTAAATTCACGTAATACTTGCATTTCCTTTAAAGTAATTTTCATTAGACTTCTTACATAGACAATCCTGCTATCTGCCAGTAAGTCTTCTTGCTGTCCAATCTCTATGACTTTTACTTAGATCCCCTGTGCAATGACTGGGACTTCCAATACAACACCGAACAGAAATGGAGAAAGTGGATATACTTTCTGATCTTTGGGGGAAAGCATCCAGTCTCTTTTGTCAGTATGATGTTAACTGGGAGTTTTTCGTTATATTACTTTTAATTTTTATGTGTATTTTGCCTGTACATATATCTGTGCACCATGTGTGTGCCTGGTACCCTGGGACTAGAATTACAGCTGGTTGTGAGCCACTATGTGGTTACTGGGAATCAAACCCAAGTCCTCTGAAGAGCAGCCAGTGGTCTTAACCATTGAGCTATCTATACAGCCCTCATTTTGCTATTTTTCATCCATTCATTGGCTGGAAACAAAACTTCTTAACTGGGTAAAGGTCATTCATCAAAAACCTACAGTATCCTCGTTTGTATAGTGGTGAGTATCCCCGCCTGTCACACGGGAGACCGGGTTCGATTCCCCGACGGGGAGCCAAAAGAAAAAAAGAAAGAAGAAAAAACCTATAGTAACCTAAACTATGTTTAATGGTGAAGATTTGAAACAATTTCTTTTGAATAAAGATTCGGTTAAACAGGGCTGAGGAGATGGCTCAGTTGGTGCGAGGCTTACCCCTAGCACCTATTGTAAGCCAGGCATGCTGGAATGTTTCTGCTATCCCAGCATGGCAATGGGATGCAGGGTAGGAGGGCAGAGAGGACAGGATCCCTGAAGCTGATGTGGGGAAGGCAATGAGCTAATCAGTGAGCTACAGATTTAATCAGCGTCCCTATCACAATAGAGGAAGACACCTAATGCTGACCTCTAACTCCCAAATGCAAATACACAGTGTCTGTGCACCCACATACACAATTCTTTTTATTAAAAAAAAAAATCCAGTCATAGGTGACTAAAAAACAGCTCCATATCTTTGCTTGCATAAGCAAAGGGTGCGCCGTGGAAGTTTAATCTAGTCTGGTGGGTGTGATTGCCTTTGGGTAGTGGAGCTTCAGAGCTTTCGGGTGCTACACATATTTTACAAGGACACATCTTAAACATCAATTCAAAGATTGGAATGATTTTTAAATCCTACTCATTTGGTTGAGTAAAAAAGTCCAATTAAAAAGAATGCCTATCAAATGATTCTATTCATATAAAAATCCTAGCAGATGGTACCAATGGCTGCTTGGGGACTAACGTAGTGAAATACGGGGAAGTTGTAGGCAGGGAGAAGAGGGAGAAAGTATAAGATAATTTGGTTACCCTGATGGTGACAACAATCTTATGGATGCACTTACCAAACTGTGCACTTTAAATATCTCCATCACATCTAATAGCTATTTAACTTCTACTTCCTTGTGATGAGAAAGGATATACTTTCACAATTTTATGTCTGGATGTATTTCAGCACGATGTACATACACTCTCCATAACCGGGCAGCGCTTTTATTGGAAATCTTTCAGTTCATCAAATTATCTAAGGAAAAAAAACCCTAGTAGTTTCACTTTCTTAAAAGAACTTTGGGTTAGTTCAATCCCCAGCACTGACGCCAGGAAGCTCACAAACTGCCTGTAACTCCAGGTAATATGATAGCTCTCGGACCTCCCCCTGCGCACACACATGTGCACACACTCTCTCGCACACATACACATACACAAGAACTTTGGGTCATGGAGATAGATCCGTGGGTAAAGGGGCTTGCTGCACAAGCCTGACAACCCGAGTTCAATCCTTGGATCCCACATAAAGGTGAAAGGACTCCAAAGTGGTCCTCTGATCTCCACATGTGCTGTAGCACACCACTCCCCTTCAAAACACACACACACACACACACACACACACACACACACACACGTTAAGCAGCCCCCCCCACCCCCCCCAGAGTAAAAGCTGACACCAGTGCACACACAGTGTACTGCTTTTCAGTAGTATCTTCGAATGGAATGGACCTATCCTTCAAAAAGCATGGTTCTGTGAACGAGGCAATGAGAATCAATGGTTCTGGAGAAAATGAAAATTGAGTTCTATCCTGATTAGCCAACAGTGGGCCTTTCTATTGGGGCAACTTAAGCTTTTAATCATTTTTATACCTTAAAACAGAGTCCAGAAAATAACTGAAATGTAAGTTCGTGTATAAGGCTATTTCTTAACTTTTCAATTGTATGACAACCAAAATTAAATCTCTTTATTCTATTTTTAGGATAGACTTTTAAAGTGTGAGTGTATATATCTTACTTCAAAAAATTTTAAAAGGATGTAAGGTAATTTTTAACAAAGGGGTTGTGGCATGGAAAGTCTGAGTAAATATAGGGTAGAAATTAGAAGATAGGAAGAATGCAGACAATATTAAGCATGCCTGTCTTGAGGTGGCTTATAGTGTGAGTTCTCAAGTTTAGAATTCAAGAAACAAGTAGAAGAGGCTGAGAAAGGCTTAGGAGGGAAGGTGACACAGAACTCTGGAGAACAGGATGGCCAGCAACAGAGAAGGCCCATGAGGCTGGAAAACTCAGTTTTTTTCCCTGGAAATAAACGCAGGTGTGGTTTCTCCAGCAACACTGGAGAATCAAAGATACAAAAGTCTCTGGAAGGAAATGCAGAAAGTGACGAGGTAACAGACAAACTGCAGCTGGAGAAAGCTTCTCTACAAACAAATTTTTGATAATGAAAACAAAAAATCCATTTCTGCAAAAAAATTATCTTAATTCTTATCTCTATAAAAACAAACCAAAAAAGTTTTTCATTTTTGTCTCCCTTTAATCTTGTTCATAAGAAAGGCATTCCTACGTGTGTCTCAGGCACTGTGCTGGTGCTTCTGGTCTCCTGGCTCTCCGAAGGGTTTTATTAACTCACACTGTTTGTGACCATCTCCTTAGCACCACTGTATGTTAACCACGTCCTCTACTAATCTACCAGATTGTTACTCGAGATCAACATTTTTCTGACCAGTTTTTGTTTTCCTTTGGGTGAGATGTTGTCCTTTTCAAAGGTTTCATTAACAAGAACAGAAATGAATCCAAGAACTCTTTTAATTCAAATTTAATGGGTCCTTAAACACCCACTTTCTGCCCCATTATCACTGTCATACTCCAGCCCTTCCCCTCCCCTATTTCAAAGCTGAGCCCTTGAACTTCTGCTTTTCTTTGTGACCAGTTTAGCATAGCATCTCTGCTACCACCCCTCCCTTGCAATGACCTTGGGTGTCTTCTCTATCAGCCCTTGTTTCCCCTAACTACCAACAAAGGTTGGCCAGTGTTTGCTTTGCTCTTACTGAACACCACAGCAAGTAAATAAAGGGATCCTAACTGGTGTTTGGCCTGCTTTTGGAGTTTCTCAGGTAGGTGCTAACAACTTACTAAATGCCTGCTATGTGCCAAGAATGCAGGCTCAGACTGTGTCCTCCTCCCTCCAGGAAGAGATGAGTACCAAGAATACACATGACTATACACAACCACAACGGGGAGGGTAAGTTAGAATTAGCCAAATCTGAAATCCCACCTAAAATACTGACAGTTTAACTCAATCCTTGATTGTTTCCAGTCCCAAAAAGACTTGCTGATAACAAGGGATATTTACTGCATATGTTTTTGTGAAGATAGAACTGTGTTAGAAGAATATTCATTGAAATATATTTTGAATAGTTTGCACAAAGGCCCAAGAGGCAGCTTCCCCAATCCTTAAGGCCACGGTTTGGGAGAACCACTCCCTCACACAGGAATGTCACTTTGTCCTTCCATGCTTTTATTGGTCTCAGCAATGGACAAGAACACCCCGGCCCAGCAGCTACCGGTATCAGGCAGACCCTTCAGGGTCATTGGCAACTCTAGTTCCAACCTAAGATCTTGTCTACCCAGGCCATGTTCCCGAATGGGCATGTCCCCGTCTGTCCTGTTTATATGTGTGGATCAGTCTGTCTGAGTGTCTGAGTCGCTGCCTACATGCCCCACCGATCCTTGGTACATGGTAGGGGTTGTTAGAAACATAGCGTGGCTTGCCCCGGTGGACCACAGGGCCCCGGTGTTGACCATGGGAGACAGGGCCAGACACTGACGGTGGCAGGGGACCAGGCACAAAGTTCATTCCAGGGCCACATCCTACAAAAGAACCAGTCATTATCAGAGTAAGTTTCTGACCAGATAGCTCTGCTCCTCTGGGGTAAGTTTCTCTGGACTTTTATTTCCCTTCTGCAAAGATGGGGATTCTACTTTGATTCTACTTCCCTTACCACCAGACCAAGAACTGTGAGCAGATTAATGAGTTTACAGAGGCTGTTCCAATCTGAGGGACTAATGTGACCAAGCCCAACTCCCAAGCTCATGTGAACACAGGTGGCTAGGCTGGGGAATGGGCACAGGAGGCTGGGGAAGGTGTGGGCAGAGGCTACAGAGGTACCTACCTAAGTTAGAAGGCATCGAGAAGTCCTCCATTGCATTGTGTTTGAAGAATTCATAGGGTGGAAAGGGCTGACCTTGGAAAAAGGGGGCATCCTGGTGCAGGGGTGGGAACAAGGGAGGTGGGGAGGGCTGAAGAAGTGGGTAAGGAAAAGACATGGGAGGAGGCAAATGGAAAGGTGGGAGTAGGGGCAAGGCCAGCTTCTCCTTGAAGTCTAGAGGCTGCTTATGGCTTCCCTGGAATGGATGATCCATCTCTGGCCAGTCTTCAATCCATGGGGCTAGGAATAAGATGATTGTGTTAAGTTGGCCAGGGATGCCAGGTTGCCACAAATGCTGTCTATCCACACTTCCAGAGCTCTACTCCAGCCTTCCTCATTCCTCTTCACAAGACAAGACTAAATCGTGTTCCTTTTTTTTGGCTACTCATGTCTGCCTGTGTTCTGACTTCATGCCTGCTCCTGCGCAGTGGCTTTATCTTTAGTTTTTCCTTCTTCGCAAGTCATCCTCATAGATCAATAAATCAGTCAAATATATAGATCCAACTCCCCCTTCCAACTAGTCCTCAATTTCTTCTAAACCATCGCAGAGAGTTTTCTACCGTGTATTTTCCCCTCATCAATTGTGTATTGCCTCTTTTGAATACTTTATGCCTTCAATGCTTTTCCTACTAAATAGAACTGCCTGACAAGCTTAATAAACCACTCCTTTCCAACAGTTCAGCTACATGACATCAACAATACACCCTGTCCTGAAAGCACTTCTCTGTTCTTAACTACTTTTGCTTCCCCATCAATCTGCTCTCTGCCAACCCAAAGTGTGAGCATGGCTCTGCTGTCTGTTTCCTAGTTCACACTCACATACCCTCTGCTACTGATGACTCCAAGTGTGGCTATCACAGGTCAAACAGATCTTCCCTAACCAAACTCACTTGCTCATCTTCCCACTTCAAGTCTTTAAACAATTTTAACTTCCTTTTCCCCACCTTGAGACAAGGTCTCATATTTTCCAGGCTGGCCTTAAACTCACTTTATAGTTAGCGATCCTCCTGATTCATTTCTCAAGTGCTAAAGTTACAAGCATGCACCACTGTGCCTGGTTGTAAATGGTGCTAGAGACTGAACCCATTGCTTCATGCATGCTGCCAACTTCAAGCACTCTACCACCTGAGCCACATCTCCAGCTATTTCCAGTTCTTAGATGGAATCTGAAGTTGTGAAGTACCACAAACTAGGCTTTCAACCTTTTCAAACATTCCTTTATTTACTGAGGACCAATTCTCTCACTAAGCAAAACAAAGGAAATGGAACCAGTACATAATCCATCTGAATCCACCTTCCTAAAGTTCCAGCTCTTAGCTAATAAGCCCTAATGGCAGACTATTCCTGGCCTTTCTGTGTCCCCCACAGCTTCTATTGCTGCAACAATAGCATCTAAGATAACTCATGCTTCCAATTCAGCAAAGACTGTATTCTTGGCACTGAAGCCCAGCACATCTGTGCTGGTACTGGGCTGGAGGGGATGAACTACCAACAAGTGACCTGATGCAGAGGAGCAGCAAACGGAGAAAGAAGTCAGGATGTTTCCTTTGCAGGCCGGCAGGGACTAAGAGACTAACAAGCAAACAAAAGATCCGTAGCAGAGAAGGTCTCAGCAGGGAGGCAATGAGAGCAGTGTCTCAAAACCAAGCTGAAGCAGTGGGACTCTCCGCACCTACAGCAGTGGCTAGAACAGGGTCGGGAAGACTGCACTGGGCCGGAACCAGAGAAGACTGGGACCCTGAGGTAGAGAGGAGCCTATGAGCTACTGTCCACTAACCGTATCACCTAGAGACTGACTTGCAAAGACACTGCAGGTTACATTGTCTCTGCTCTATAGGCTGCTAGCTGGCTGGAGCTCTCACTTCTGCAGTTGATGAGCTTTCCTGGCGCTGCAACACTACTTGGACTTGGATCACCCTTCCTCCATTATCTGTCCTCACGCTTCCTACCTGAGACTACCTACAAAGAGTTTCACTTTCCTTCATCTCACTGAGTATGGTCTTTTGATCCTGGCTTTTTTGTTGTTGTTGTTTGCTTTGTTTTTGGCTTTTTGAGACAGGATTTCTCTTTGTAACAGCCTTGGCTGTCCTGGAACTCACTTTGTAGACCAGGCTGGCCACAAATTCATAGAGATCTGCTTGCCTCTGCCTCAAAAGTGCTGGGATTAAAGGTGTGCACCACCACTGCCTGGCCTTGACCCTGCCTTTTGCAATCAGTACTTGGTCACTTTCCTTCAAATCACACAGCTGAATCACACAGCTGAAGAACCAGGAGATGAACAGTCGAGTGACTCCCATGATCTAACCACTCCCAGGAAGTGAGAGTGGAATACTCAGGAGCCACCACCATTTTTTCAAAGGATCACCTACTTTCTACAGGTACCTCTGTTGCATTTGGTTCTCTGTGCCTTCTGTGCTAAAGGTCCTATTGACATCACTACCCACTCACTCTGTGGCAGATCTTACCTGGGAGAGGGTCGTGTTTGGGTAGCTCCACACCCCAGGCATCAGCCACATGGCTCAGAAGTAAGTGTGAGAGGTGGCGGTGTGCATGCTGGTCCCAGTGGACACCATCTCGATGACGGTGATGCACGGCGTGACGGAAATGGAAGTGGAGATCCAGGACGTCGAAACAATGGTTCCCAGCTAGTGTAGCACTGTAGAAGTTCCCCTCAACCACATCCTGTCGCAGAGAAACTGCCAGGGGCTGGAGCTAATAGAGAAAGTGGAGCCTCTAAAATGGTCTCCTATTGACCAGCCAGCCACTCTATCCCTGTCCAGAAGGGTCCCACTCACTCACCTCTGGCAGGAGGAAACCCCCAGTGACACGCTCCCCCAAAGGCATTGCCATGTTCCACACCAGCAGACAAGAGTCTGGCAAAACCTGATCCATTCGTACAAACACTCGTTCCAAGTTCTCTCTGTAGCTCTCCATTGGGCAGCGGCCATATCTGTTGGGTAACACGGAGGGTGGGCAAGGGCACAGGGATGGCGCCATACCTCCTCCTCCAACCAGTATTTCCCTTTCCCTCGCCTGAACCTGGAGAGATCCCAGAGGCAGGAGTTGATGATCACCAGGTCAGGGGCAGGTCCGTATGACAGTTCCTTCAAGACGTCCTCAAGGTACTCGGAGTAAACACGGGTGAGGAAGTAGAAGCGCACAAGGTGGTGGCCAGAGACAGAGCAGAACTGGCGGACCTCTCGGTACTGTGTCCCGTTGTGGAGCTCGCCCAGCTGGCCCCCAGCCACCAGCTGATCCTGTTCAAAGCTCAGCTCCCCCTACCCACCCACCCCCACCCCGACGGTCAGATCCATGCCAGGCAGGTGGTCCTTTTCAGGCCAGGGTCTGCACCCACCCAACACTGGCATGGTTGCCAAGTTTCTCTCACCTTGGCTTTTAACTGGGAGGCTGTGAGCAGTGTGTCTTTCTGGAGCAGAAGCACCAGGTCCTTATACACAGCTCTCTGAACTGCAGGGAGATAGGGATCCTAAGGTTAAGGCAGGCCTCTCAGAGCCTTCCAAATGAAGGCCTTTTGTTTCCCAGGGTTTGGCTGCTCAAGAGCTGACTTAAAGGAAAAGAAAAGATGAGGTTTAAAAACCTCGGCTCGGTTCTGTCTAGTCAGATGCATCTCCTCTAACCTATATGTAGTGACCCAAGAGACCCAAGGGGCACAATTAAGCCAGCCCTGTCACCAGGGAAACACACAACATAACCCACAGCTCCTTTTAAGAAAATCATGGAGGGCTACAAGAGATAAAGATGCTACAAGCATGGGCTAAAATAATGCACAAATGATATGCCAGGGCACCCGTGGAAGGTATGTAGGTGAAAAAAATACAAGTCTAGTGTTCTAAAACAGTAGAAAATGGAGAAGACGGAAATGAAGATACGGGGTGCAGACATAAAGAAAAGGCTGCAGATATAGAACTATGAAATGCCATCCTAAGTGGTCACTCACTGGAGTCCCCCAAAATGACCACGAACTTGTTGTGGAGCAGTTGCTGGACTTCGGAGGCTTGGAAGTGGACCATGGCGCTTCGCAGTAGGCGGTGTGGCACCTTGTTTTCCAAACAGAAGACCATGCTGCCACTGACGCCAGCTGCAGGGAGAGGCCACTAAGCTGAGGGAGGGCAGGGACTCAAGGTAGGTCAGTCTGTCCCAAGATGAGAGATGCGCGATGGCCCCTCCCTGGCTGCTCTGAGTAATAGGGAGGAGAGTGGGGCCGCATGGCGCATCCCATGATAGCACCAGCCTTCATCACACTCGGAGGGAAGGTGGAGGGTCGCTTGGACCAAGGGCCTACACTATGGCGCTTCGCGCGAGCAGCGACTCCCTTGCTCCCAGCCACGTGTCAGCAGCGGCCCTGCGCGTGCGCACACGTCCGCTCGCGCCAGTTACCAAGTCTCCGGGCTCCAGGGATTCACCAGCCAGTAGGGCAGGCCCGGGCGCCCTGCGCCTTGCCGACGGCGGGCTCCTGATCTAGAGTCATGTTCCCGCGCCCCTGGAGGGCGGTAGGTTCGGCAACGACCCCGCCCCGCAGAGCCCAGGTGCCCAGGTTAGTTGTCGGTACGCAGCTCGACGCCCAGTGCTCTCCATGCGGGCGTCGCGGTGGTCCAGCCAACGCCTCCAGCATCTGAGCTCCAGGAGGAGATGCTCATGGCTCCCACTTCCGGTCACCCATGTCTCTCCCTGCGCGACCCGCAACGCCGGAGGGGTCAGAAAGACAGCGAGGTTGGCCGCCGTGAAGGATAGGAATCAGGCCTAGGCCCACCAGGGCGGCCGCGAAGCCCGGGTAGGAGCGGAGAGCAACGATAGCTCAGTGCGGTTTGCCCACAGTGCTGATGGCCGCTAAGGCGGCCTCACCACGTGACCCCCGACGGGCGGAAGCGGAAGTGCGGCCTGGAGCTTGCGCCAGGCGGGTGTTTACTAGGCGCTTCTAGCTGCCAGCTGTACCAGACATGGACTGTTACACAGCGAATTGGAACCCACTCGGGGACTCTGCCTTTTACCGGTGAGCCGCCCGCCGCCCCACCTTCTCGCCCACTGCCCAGCTTACCGTGCTTGTTTGCTGGTTTGAGCCTCCCCCGGCGGAGCCAGCGGCGCTCGCCCCCCCCACCCACCCACCACGGGTGCTGACGTCCGCCCCTCCGGCTGCTAGCTCGAACGTCTGCCACTTTACGCACGGTTGCCTAGGGGCAGCAATCTGGTCCTTCCTCTGCTCCAACAGAGGCAAGCTCAGATGACACCCCAATATCGAGGTCTGTCTGCCTCCGGAAGGATGCTCAGATCACGTTGAGGGAGGCCGCCCGCGGCGACCGCCAGTGCCAGTCTCCTTCCGGAAACTGCTGCTGAAGTCAGACCACAGGGGCTCTCAGAGGAGGGCGGGATCGCCACAGCGGGCGGGGTGACAGTACTGACCAAAGCTGAGAGAAGGGGGTGACTAGCTGGCACTATTAATGAAGAACCCTAGGCATTGGCAGCTCACTGAAGTTAAGAGAGCCCTGAGCTGTGAGTCTGAAGTAGTAACGTGATTACAGTAGTTAGCGTTTCGTTGAGTTTCTAAGATAAGGTACAAACTACTTGTAGAACATACATCAATTTGTCTCCCTGAGCGGCTTCCAGTTTGATCTTAACCATTCTCAAATCATGTTCCAACCGCACAGAATTGCAGGCCCTCATCACATCCATGTAGCCTGTTGTCAAATAGCTGTCCAGCCTGTGGTGTCCCATGCCTCTAATTCCAGCAGTTTGGAGATCCAGGCCAGCCTGGCCTGTGTAGTCAGTTCAGGCCAGCCAGGGCAGCAGAGTAAGACCCTGTTTTAAAACAGCAACGTAGAAATAAACAAAACCTAATAGTTGCCCAACTAGTTGCAAAATTGTGAAGAATGTTTTATTGATGCACCTGAAGATCACGAAGCCGTTGCGTTGGTGTCGTATTTCAGTAGAAGACATTGCTCCTGCTAATGAGGCTGTTTACCATTCTAATAACCCAACTCTTAATGAAATTTTGTTGTTCAGAGTGTGATGCATTTCCCAGACAAACGATGCCTTGTAGTAATTTTTAGAGATCTGTTGCATTTGTTTATTCATCATTCCTCCTAGACACATTTGCAATATGAAAAATGAAAAACTTAGTTGAAATCAACAGAAACTGTTAATGATTTCACCCATTGAAAATACTAGTGAGCAGAGTGTGCCGTCACACCCGTTATCCCAGCCCTTGGCAGGTGGAGACAGGAGGATCAGGATTAGTAACTGGTCAGTTTATACTTTACCTTAGAAAGGAAGTCAACAAGCAGCTAACTGCTGTAATCATGTTACTATACACACACACACACACACACACACACACATATATATATAGCCAAGTCAGCTTTGGCTGTATTCATACATTGGAGGCCATCCTGGGCAAGGTGAGACTCCGTCCCAAAACACATGCTTAAAAAACTAAAAACTGAAAATAAAATACTTATTATTTTTAAAGTACTTTTAAATCAGCATAGAAGCAAAGAAGACTTTATTACAACAGAGCTCCTCCTGTTTATTGTATGAAATCTTAGCTTCATGCATACATAAAGTTTCAAAAGATGTGAGTGTGTTGTCATAGAAGTGGCTAACTTCCCATTACCTGCATTGCACTCATAGAAACAATTAGAAGTGTTAAGCCTTGCTGGAGATGGCATATATGTCCTAGAGTGCAAATAAGTAATACTTTCTGCCAGGTGGTGGTGGCACATGCCCTTAATCCTAGCACTCGGGCAGAGACTGGCAGATCTGTATGAGTTCAAGGCCAGCCTGGTCTACAGAGTGAGTTCCGGGACAGGCCCCAAAGCTACAGAGAAATTCTGTCTTGGAAAACCAAAAAAACAAACAAATAAGACTTTCATATATACTGGACGCTATGCTAGGTATTTGTATTTTATGTATACTTTCTTAAGTATCCCACCACATAGAATTGGGATCATGATTTGCTCTAATTTACTGATGGGGAAGTTGAGGGACAGGAAGTCCAGGTTAAGTAACTGAGTGGCTCTGAGAGTGGTAGCACATGCCTTTAATCCTAGCAGAGGCAGCTGAACCTCTTGAGTTCGAGGCTAGCCCAATCTACAGAGAGATTGAGTTCCAAGACAGCCAGCACTACACATAGTGTAGAAACCCTGTCTTGAAAAGCCTCGCTCCCCTTTCCCCCCCAAGAACAACAGGATGTTGTAGACTCTGTACCAAAACAGAATTTTTGATTTTACATTTTGTGTGTGTGTTTGTGCGCGCGTGCTTGTGCGAATGCAGAACAACAAACGTTTGGAGGTCAGAGGGCAACTTGTAGGGGGAATTGGTTCTCTCCTTTCCACCACATGGAATCTGGGGATTGAACTCACGTCTTCAGGCTGGCAGCAAGTGCTTTACAAAGCTGAGCCCTCTTGGCCCAGATTGGTTTTTGTTTTTTGGGGTTTTTTTTTTGTTTTGTTTTTGTCCTTTGTTTGTTTGTTTTTGAGACAGGTTTCTCAGTGTAACAGCCCTAGCTGTCCTGGAACTAGCTCTTGTAGACCTGACTGGCCTTGAACTCACAGAGATCCACCTGCCTCTGCCTCTGAGTACCGGGATTAAAGGCATGCACTACCACCACCCAACCAGCCCAGACTTTTTTTTAAAACAGGAGAATGCAAAAGCATTTCTAGTTTATTCACCAGTGTGAAATGTTTTAGAACAGGTGCTTGGTTTAGTTCACATTCTCATCCGGACCTAATCTGTGATTCTGGTGAGTGAATGAATGGTGAACAAGCGAAGCCCTTTTGCTGAGTCCCATCTGAAGGGCAGGATCTTTGCATTGGATTTGTTTTCTCAAGAACTTGTTGGACTTGGAAAGATAAGGAGAGAAGTGGTGGCCATCTCTTACCAGGTTCTAGAAATTTAGCCACTTTAATTCTAAAACTGTAACTTGAGCTGATTCCATTCATTAATTTGACCCCATCTTTGCCAGACTCAGTATGTGTCGATGGGTAAGATAGACTAAGTCTGCCTTTGACATTCATGGGTCTTACAGCCAGCACGTGACACGGAGGATAAGGACTCAACCTTTGATCCTAGTTATTACGGGGAATACTGAACTTGGGGGTGAGAGGGAGCAAGTAATCAAGGATGGCTTGGGTTCTCAGCTTAAGATGATGAAAAAGGAGAAGTGAATTTGGCCGAGAAGAGGATGGACTGGTGTGTGGTGGTTTATGCTCATGTTTGTGGTATATATAGGCTCACATGCTCTTAAGAGAAGGTGGAGGGTTGCTCCTCAGGAGCCATTTACTCTGCTTTTATTGTTTTGTTTTTGTTTTTTCGAGACAAAGTTTCTTTGTAGCTTTGGAGCCTGTCCTGGAACTCACTCTGTAGACCAGGCTGGCCTCAAACTCACAGAGGTGTATCACAGAGATCTGCCTGCCTCTGCCTCCTGATTAAAGGGATTAAAGGCGTGCGCCACCACCGCCCAGTTTTACTCTGCTTTTAAAGATAAGGTCTCTCACTGGACCTTGGGCAGGGATCCGCCCATCTCCACCTTCCCAGCACCCCATGCCTGGTGTCTTAGTGGTGCTGGGAATCAAACTCAAGGTCTCACACTTTTGCAGCAAGCACATTAGTGAATGAATTAGCTGTGTCCCCAGTCCCATGAACTTGGATTTGAACACATTGAGTTTCAGGCACTTTAGAAATAGTTAATTTGTAAAAGGAAGAAGAATGACAATACATTTTATATCCCCGGAAATATTCTTGTAGTTTTTCTTTTCTTTGTTTTTCTTTCTCTCCCTAGATACTGGGTAGTCCTGTTATTTTTTAAAAGGGAGGAGATTATTTACTATTATTTTTAGATTTATTTGTTTTATGTATGAGTGCTTTATTTGCACATATGCCTGCAGTCCAGAAGAGGGAGGGCATCAGATCCCATTGTAGATTGTGGTTGCTGGGAATTGAACTCAGGACCTCTGAAGAGCAGCCAGTGCTCTTAACCACTGACCAATCTCTCCAGCCCCAGACATTGAAAGGTAACATGTGGGTGCTGGGAATTGAACCTGGATACTCTCTGCAAAAGCAGCCAGTGCTCTTAACTGCTGAGCTGGCTTCCCAACCTTTTTTGTGTTTTTTTTTTGTTTGTTTGTTTGGTTTTTTGTTTGTTTGTTTCTTAGATAGGCTCTCGTGTAGCACAGGATGACCTGCCTCCATCTACCAAATGTTAGGGATATAGGCATGTGCTGTTGTACCTAGATTATCCAGTGCTGGGCATTGAACCCAGGGATTCATACATGCTAGACAAGTATTCTACCGTCTGATCTACTTTCCCAGCCCTTTATCTGAATCATTTTTTAATTACTGTCCAATAGTGTGGAATATATTTACTGTGGTGTACAGCCAGTTTAAGTTTTCTCCATCTAACAAAAC